TTCTTCCTGGGCAGCAAGCTGGTGGGAGACGGGCGAAGCCTCTGAAGGGCCCTGGACGAAGCACTCGGGTCACGGTCACCATGCCAACCCGCTCGGACTAGTACACGCATGCTTTGCTGCAAGTCCTTGGTCCTGCTTCCTGCGCAGTAGAGGTCATGTTGGGCATGCCAGCCCTACAAGAGACGCTCACCAGACCGTCTATAAATATTTCTGGCGGGAGGCTCGTTGCATGCGAGGATAAAGAAGATGTAGGGCTGGCAGGCTTAGTGTAGACCTGGGGCACAGGGGTGGGCCGGATTGCACACCTTTAGACACGCCATCTGAACCAAAGCCACAGGACGTCGACACAAAGTGACTACTCAAGAGGGATACAAGGGGAGGGAAGATTCCAGTAATTGCTCGAATGTTCAATATTGTAATATTTTCATTCAGCATGCATTCCAACACACAGTTTTATTTTTATTTTTGATTAGTTAGTTGTGACGGACTGCTAACAACTAACAGACTGTTGCAGATAGAGTAGTTGTTTATTCTTGCTGCAAGCATTTGTTTCAGACTAGTCAAAAGTAGGAATAAAATTCTTTGCAGGGGTATGAAACTATCTGCTGTTACCGCTTGACTGCTTCCTGATAAATCTGGACCGTATATTTAAATCTTATTTATTAAGCGGTTGGGTGCCACGCTGCGATAGGTCCCAACGAGGACACTAGTTCAGATTGCATGCCACGTGCAGCCCTGGGGTGAAGATGACATTGAGGCTGAGACACATAGACTAGGACGAGGGGAGGATTGCTAGAGGACAAGCACTTTGTCGGCCGACCACTTGTTTGGTGTTAAAGACCAGGCCAGGAAAGGAGACAGCGGAGAACAGCTGAGGAGAGTTGGGTCTCGCAGAAGGTAAAGGTGGCAGCAGCCAACGCAGTGATGGCACTAGCAGTTGTAGCAGCAGCACACGTTAGAGCCAAGGTCGAGGCAGCAAAGGCTACTGTTTCTGCAATGTCCCATGTTTCTTCCCAGACCTCTTCGATAGGTGTTAGTCGGGGCATATCAGGTCCTTGCACTAGTCTGTCTGATGGTGTGCAGGACCGCCAACAACAACCCTTGTCAATGGAGGACGTTGAGCTCAGAGAAACGCATGCCCTTCCTACAGAGTTACAACGCCAAATACAGGACGTAGAGGATAGACGGAATAGAGCTAGAAGAAGAAAGCCTAGACTAGAGGCGAGGGAGGTGGAACTAAACAGATTAAGAAGCTTTGGATGTGGAAGCTCCTAATAAGCGGACACTTCGGTCCAGTCAGTGTGGCAGAAGTACAGGCCGTGTTTTAGGAAATGCTAGCCACATTGATAGCCGGTCAGAATTAGATTCTGGCTGCGCAGAGAGGCCCCAAGCCTACTGTGAGGCCTGCACAACCCGTTGTAGTTCCCCTAGTGGTGCCTAGTGCGTCCATGTCATTGCTGCCTATGAGCGGTGTCGGTGCGAATACCCTTACAAGGGTATCCACCCTGGTTTTCGCAAGCGACAAAAGATAGGTTTGGTTTAAAGTTTAGGTGTTCTGCGCGAGGCGCGGCTGTGTCTGAGGTTTACGTTGACTGGCTGACTAGATTAAAGAGTGTGTGGGCGCGCGGATTTGAGGCACGAGTGATCTTTTACTTTTTTTTATGATTGTGAAAGTCGGCGTGGTTGCCGGCGGATTTTTCTTCTGATTAAGCTAGGATTAAAAAGGATTCCGTCTCTTGATTGGTGCGCTTGCCGGTGACCTATGCGTACGTGTGGAGAACGACATCGACAACGACGTGAGTTTGGGGACGTTTCGATAGATCTAAGTGTTGTGCAGTACCCCTTTACTTTAGATATCAGACAATACTAGACTCAGATTTGGGGCCTACCATTATTAGTTACAGCATCGAACTTTCTTCGGAGGGATTCAAAGATCGAGATCGAGCGGCGAAGGCGCGGGAGCGTGGGAGCGGCGCTGATGAATCGAGGGGTTGAGGGCAAGGAAGGGCTATCCCCCTTGGTTTTGTCGTCGTCGGCGACGAAACGGTACTAACGGCCTCTTTTTCCTCGTTCGTCATATGCTAATGATTAAAATCTTCTAAAAGTTTTATTATGTATTGTCGTTGTTTATTATTTTTTATGTTTCGGCGTGCTTTGAATCAAAGGCGTGACGCCGGATTTCGAGGCCGTCATCGGGATTGATGGGTCGGCTCAGGTGGCGTGAGCTCTGACATTGAGTCAACATACCGAGGGCGTTGAGGCGGTCGGGGATCTGGAGCGCGCGTCTCTTTTGGCTGGCGGCAAGATCCCGGCACAGGGCACAGGGCTCCACACGACGCCGACGTGGCGACGACCACGACACAGGGCTCCACACCCGTGCTGACGGACTAGGGCCACCAGCCCAAGGGGGATCTGCACACCCTCCTCACCTCCCTCCTTGCGCCCATTCAGGCGCAACGCACGACCCTCGCGCCCTTACAGGCGCAGGGGGCGACTCTTGATGCTGGCGTGCGGCAACTCCAGGACGCTGGCCGTCCTTCCTCTCCTCACCCTCTCTCTTCTCCTGGCTCYCAGTCCGGTTCCCCCGTCCTCCAACAGGGTGGCCACGCCGGAGCTTCCTCCTCTGCCAAGGCCGACCCGACCATCTTGGTGACCGTCCACGCCCCTAGCTCGACGGCCGCCACGAGTCAGGCCCTCCCCCAGTCTACGGGCGCACCCGCCTAGATTCCGGCCACTACGGCCATGGGACCACAACCCGCTACCATGGTCTCAGCTTTTCCGGGTACCCCACTTCTCCCTCCCCTTCGCACGACCGCAGCGCCAGCTGGCTCTCCCCCTTGTGGGATGTCTCGCACCACTCGTGCGTCTCCTCCTGCCACACCTCGCTCGACCTACGTCAAGGTCTCGAGGACGAGATTGCCCTGCTCTGGGCCAACCTCGCCCTCTCACGCCTTCAACCACCCCCACCCTCCAGGTGGCCGCGCCTTCCGGCGCACCCACTTCTTCCTCTACTCTTCCTTCCATGCAGGCTTGCTTCCCTCGCCGTGCACCCTACCCATCCCCATCCTACCTCCTCGCTATCCCCTCGGTTGCTGCGACCTCTTCCACCACAGCTCCTGTGCAGCCTGCCGCCGTTCCCCCCGCCGCTCCACCATGCGGTCCGGGCGTACAATCAGTTGCGCCCCCTCCTCCAAGACCTGCGCCGACTTATTCAGCCGTAGCACAGGCCTTCGCTCCCCGTTCTCCTCGCCGCCAAAATGGTGGCGCACCACTCGTCCGCTTGACGGACATTGCCTTGTATGACGGTACATGCATACGCGTGTCTCGGTGGCTCCAGTCTGCCACCCGCACGCTCCAGCTCATGGGCGCCCCACCCGACACGTGGGTGGCTCACCTCTCCACGTGCCTGCGTGGCGGTCCTTCCGACGCCTGGGAGGATTTCTACACTTACTCCCTTCGTGAAGGTCGGACTCCGACCTTCATGGATTTCCAGGCGGTCCTCGAGGATCGCTTCGGAGCCCGATATGACGTGACTGACGCCTTCGAGCGTGTCGTCACTACACGCTGGTCCGGCTCTGGTGGCGCTGCCGGCCTGGATCGCCACATCCAGGTCTTTCAGGACGCCCGCCTCATTTGTGATATGGCGTTCCTCCCCGAGGCTGCCCTTATCGATCGTTTCTTGGCCAGCCTCCCGCTCGAGTACCGCTCCGAGTTATGGCGGTACAAGTTCACGTCGGCCCCGCAGGCTTACGAGGCCGCCAGGGACCATCAACGGATGCGGGCCCGTCTTCACCCCGCCTCCTCCTCCCAGCCCCACTGTACTGGTTACGCCTCCTCCTCTCACGACACTTCCCAGCGCCGTTCCCCTTTCCGCGGTCGCCCCCGCCGTTCCACGCAGCAGGGCCGCCACTTCTCGCGCCGCTTCAGCGCGCTCGAGTATGGTGAGCAGGACGCTGGTGCCCCGCTGTCGCCAAAGGGTGACCATAGCGACGACCTCGACCTCGACGAGGCCGTCCACCACCACCTGGAGGACTGTACTCTTCCTATGGCCGAGCGCCTCCAACTCATCCTCTCCGCCCTCTCCCGGGCACGCAGCTGCCCCGGTCATGTTGGCCCGTTGCCCCCTGCGGTCCCTCAGCAGGACCTCCCTCAGGGCTTCATCCCTCCTTGCGGTGTCCTTTCCGCTGAGGAGCGCGCGGTTATTTTGGGCCGGCGTGGGTGTTTGCGCTGCCGTCAAGATGGTCACACCTCCTCGCGGTGCCCTTACACCACCGCCCTTGACCGCCACTACGCCGACCTTTCCCGCCAGCGGCGTGCTCAGTCCCCCCCCGGCGCCTCGCATCCCCGTGGCGCCTCCTAGCCACGGTGCAGTGTGCACCTGCGCCCTCCTCAGTAGCCGACTTCCAGACATCCCCGTCGCGGTTTGCCCCTCTCGCTACTGGAGTTGAGGTCTCGCAGGACCCGACAGAGTGTACTCAGCCCTCTGTCGCAATACCATCTGCGCCTCCGCAGACCACCGTCTCCTCTCCTTCCCCGCCGCGACTGTCGACGCGTCGAGCCATTCGCTCAGCCCGTTGCAGCGAGCAGCTCGCTACTCGCGAGGACGTTGTGTCCTCTCTTCTGGACTTGAGCATGCTCCAGGCTCGTCAGGAGCGACTCACCCTCCATGTCGCTGCACTGCGTCGCCTTCTCGCCATCCTCTCTAACCCTGATCGCACCCTCCCGATCATCCCAGTACGACTCGGGACCTCCACGAGGGTGTACTTACCATTGTGGGATTCCGGTTCTCAGGGCAACTTCATTCACCCATGTGGTGAAAGAAGCCCGCTTACCCACGACAGGGTCTCTGACTCCCATCTCCGTCACCCTAGGGGATGACAAGACCCAGCGCTTCTTCGATTAGACGGTCACCGACCTCCCCTTCTTCCTCACTCTCGAGCCGACTGATCGTCCCCCGGCGTCTCGTCGCCACCACTCCTCTCAACATTTCGATGTGATGGAGACGGGGTACGACTTCATTCTCGGCACTCCGTGGTCTCGTCGGTTCCGCAGCACCGAGGCCGATTGGGCAACCAACACTCTCGTTCTCAAAACGAAGTGTGGACAGACGTATCGCGCACCTTTCATAGGTACCACTGCGACACCACGCCTCGATCCTCCTCCCCCGGAGCCTTCCGTGCCCTCACCATCTCCTTTTATCACTGTCACCTCGCCTCGGCAGTTCGCCCACTTCATCCGACAGGACGACGTCACCTTTTTTATGGTGAACGTGACGGATCTCTTACACTATGTTCCACAGTCCCGATGCCGAGCTCATCCCTCTGGAGCCAGATCCTCCTTCTATCTTCATGGCTCCCATCTCTACTTCCGTCCCTCCGCCGTCCGTCGAGTCCACCCCACCGTCGCGCGCTGACGCTGACGCTGAGGAACTCGCACGATATACGGCTGACCTGGAGTCCGCAGTTCGTGACCTCATTCGAGAGTGTACCACAACGTTTTCCCATCGTCGTTCTCGTACGCCGGCATCCCACCGATGCGCGACGTCGAGCACTCCATCCAGCTTGTGCCTGACTATCGTGTTGACCACCAGGCACCCTACAGACTCTCGATCCCCGAGGCCACCGAACTCAAGCGTCAGCTTGAGGAACTCCTGAGACTGGGTTTCATTAAACCCAGCAACTCCCCATGGGGTGCACCCGTCCTCTATGCTCGCAAAGCAGATTAAACTCTTCGTCTCTGCATCGACTACCGCGGTCTCAACCGCTACACGGTTAAGAACAATTACGCCATGCCTCGTTATGATGAGCTGTTCGACCGCCTAGCAGGCAACCGCTTCTTTACGAAGATTGATCTTTGTAGCGGTTACCATAAGATCCGCGTCGCTGCAGCCGACCAGCCGAAGATCGCGTTCCGATCGCGCTTCGGCCACGACGAGTTTACGGTGATGTCATTCGACCTCACCAACGCACCCGCTACCTTCTAGAGGGCGATGAACGACATCTTCAGGGACATCCTGGAGCAGTACGTTCTCGTCTACCTCGACGATATCTTGATCTACAGTCGTACCCTTGAGGAGCACCTCAGACACCTCCGCGACGTCCTTGACCGCTTGCGCAGACATGACTTCTATGCCAAGCTGAGCAAGTGCCGCTTTCCCCAGTACAAAGTGGATTTCTTAGGACAATACGTGTCTGACCAGGGTCTCCGCATGGACGATGCGAAGATCACTGCTATTGCGAAGTGCCCCGCTCCCACATCCGCCAAACAGCTTCGCAGCTTCCTAGGCCTGACCAGCTATTATAGTAATTTCACCCAGGGATACGCTAGGTATTCTTACGTCCTTACCTCCACCCTCCTCCGGAAGAACCCACCCTGGGCTTGGACACCCCTCCACGAAGACGCCTTTCGCGCCCTCAAGAAGGCGGTGACATGCGCACCGGTTCTTCACCTACCCGATTTTGACCGCCCTTTTATCCTTACCACCGATGCGTCAGACTTTGCTGTAGGAGCAGTGCTTTCTCAGATCTTCCCTTCCTCTCCTGATTCCTCTCATCCTCGTATCCCTCGCTTCCCACTGCCTACCCCTACCACTGCTTTCCGATTGACGCCTACTTGTCCAGCTACTGACGAGCCTTCTATTGACTATTCTCCTACCATCGCCAAGGACGGCACTGTCGAGTTTCGCTCAGGTGATTGTCCGATAGCCTTCTACTCCTGTCAGCTCTTACCCGGGAAGATAAACTACACCGCTGATGAACGTGAGGTTCTCGCAGTAGTTTATGCCGCTCGGCACTAGCGTCACTACCTGCACGGGGCACCATTCACGATGCGCACGGACAACTCTGTTGTCCAGGCTTTTCTGACAAAGCCGAAACTCATTCCTCGACAGGCTCGCTGGTGGCGCGACCTATCTGAGTTTAGTTTCACCACTGAGCACACAAAGGGTGAGACTAATCGGGTCGCAGATGTCCTATCTCGGCGCCCTGACCACGACCAGGAGCAGATCCAGCTCTCTTCTATCTCGGTCACCACTGTTCACCACTCGGTGATCGACGAGTTTCGCACTCAGTACCGTCACTGCCCTGACTATCGCGACATCCACACGACCCTTCGGAGTGGCAAGACCGTCCCGAACTACTCTCTCGGGGACAACGGTCTTGTGTACTAGCACGGTTCACAGAGCACCAGAGAGCCCCGTATTTGCGTATTCCTTATTCTTTTGTTTATAGTCTATTGATTATAAGTCTAAAATAATTAATAGAAATAATAGATATACATAGTCAATTCAACATGATCAATATGCAATGCATATTGATCATGTTGAATTGACTATGAATCACTTTGACTAGCTGTTTTTACATAAAGTATTAATAAAAAGGCTGTTGGGATAATAATAAAAAGTGTCGTTGCAATAAAAGCAAGAATATTAACTTCCATAATTTTTTCAATATAAACAGAAAATAAATCTAAAATAGACAAGAATGTAGATTTATTTTTTGTTTATATGTATATTCTTTCATTCTCTATTACATTAATTATTACATAATCTCTCTAATGTATATGTATATGAACTCTAAAATGTATATGTATATGAATTTCATTATTTATGATGTTATTGATTCTTCTTTTTACATTCAGTACAATCATTTATAATAAAATTCCCTCTGGCCGTCATTATTGGCATGTTGCCGATTAGTATTATTGATTTCATATTGATATCATAAATACATTTTGTTTTTTCAAATGAAGGAGTAACTTAGAATTTAATTAAATATTCTACTGTAAATGTTAATACATTCTTACATTTTTTTTTTATATTAGTTAGTATCAGCTGTAAATCCACCTGTAAGATAATCATGCATAACAATAGGCATACCTAATTCTCTTGCACATTGTACTCTCTTAAACATTTCTTCACAAGTTCTTGCAGTAGCATTTAAATAGTGACCTTTAATTTCTCCAGTTTCTGCTTGAGATTTATAAATTGTTTCTGCTACAAATAGGAATCCTTCCACAAGACGTTGGCTCGTATGAGCCGCCTGTACGTCTGGCCAAAGCACAAGGACTTTGTGAACGACTATGTCGCAGAGTGTCCCACCCGTCAGGAGGTGAACAATGCGAACCACTTGCCTTATGGTTTGCTCTAGCCTCTTCCTATCCCTGAGGGTAGTTGGCAGTCCATCTCGATGGACGTTATCAGTCCTCTTCGTCCTCCGACCCCCCGCGGTCATGATGCTATCCTGGTCGTCGTCGACCGCTTCACGAAGCGTGCACGYTTTGTTCCGTGCCGCTATGCCATCAGTGCACGTGAGGTCGCCGACATCGTGTTTGGCGAGTCGTGCGTGACCACGGCTTACCTCTGAGMATCATATCTGACCGTGACCCGCGCTTTACCAGCTGATTCTGGCGACGGCTTCACGAGGTTTACGGCACCCAGCTTCGCTTCTCCTCGTCTTACCATCCTCAAACTGATGGTCATACTGAGATCACGAACAGGACTCTCGGAGATATTCTCCGAAAGATTATTCGTGACGACCAGCAGTGGGATCTCCATCTTGCCCACGCGGAGATAGCCTACAACCACGCCGTCTCGCCAACCACGGGGATGTCGTCTTACTATTGCGACCTCGGCTATCACCCTCGTGTTCCCGCAGACTTCCTCAGACAGTCACAGATGCACCCCAACACGAGTTGTCTCGCGGTGGATGATCAGGTTGCACACATGACGTCGATCATGAAGACCGCACATGAGCACATAGCTGCTTCCCAGACTCGCATGGCAACACGTGCGAACCGATCGAGGATGGATCATCCATTCAAAGTCGGTGATGATGTGCTTATCGACTCCCGCCACTTACAGCTTGAAGCATACACGCTTCGCAAGTTTCGGTGTCGCTTTTTAGGCCCATGCCGCATCCTCCAGGCCATCGGTTCTGATACGGCATCTAGCCCGGTCAGCTTTCGTGTGAAGCTGTCCGACTACCTACGCCAGGCTCGTGTGCACGATGTCTACCACGTCTCGTTACTGCGTCCTTACCGCAGACCGTCTGAGCGTTTCGCTGGACGACCATACGAGCGCCCTCCACCCATCATGGTGGACGACCACGAGGAGTTCCTTGTTTCAGACATCATTGGTCGCCGAGTCACCGACGACAACCCTCCCCACGTCGAGTATCTCGTACGTTGGAAGAGTTACCCTGATGAGGAGGCTACCTGGGAGCCCCTCGAGCACTTGCAACACACTCGCATCTTGGTGCGTGCCTATGACCGTGCTCGTCGTGCTTGGTTCACTGCTCCTCCTCCTTGTCCCCCGACTGAGGAGACCGCTGAAATCGAGCCTGCTCCATCTGAGGCAGACCTTCAGCAGCAGCCGGATGCTTCTGAGCGTCCACAGCGCACTCGTCGTCGTCCTGTTCGATACGACAATTGACTCTGACTTACCTTGCCACGTCTTTGACTTCTCAGTACTCCATCCACTCCAGTTTTGCTACTTCAACTCGTCGACGTTGCGGCTCTTCCTCGACGGCATTCCGGACTTCTCATTGTAGACGTCATCGGCAGCTTCATGGACTTCGTCACGATCAGCTCTGCCTACTTCAGACGTCATCACTCTCTTACCACTTTACCCTGTACAGTACCATGGTTGTGTCGCATGATGGTCTCCCTTTAGCCGGTTTCCTTTGAGTTGGGCTCTCCCTTGGTATACGCATAGGCATCGGGACCGTAGCGTTGCCCTGGCTTCCCATCTTACGGATCTAGCTCTGACTTCCCCAACTTAGGAGTCATTTGCATGATTCCCTTACTCATCACCTTTCTACCCTCTGTCGGCCCTCACGCCCTAGTTAGGCACCCCCGCATGCTTCATCTAGGTGCGCCCAGTATACCAGGCTCCCTTGTTCCCTTGCATGGTCGACCCTCCATAGCGGTCACCCTTTATCCGAGCATTACCCGCCCTGATGGTCTATCTGTTAGGGTCATTGGTTCTGTTCGCTCCCAGTTCCCTGCCCTCATTGAGCCTGATGACATGTGTCTCTCTGTCACTATGTGTGGATGCCCTTAGGAGTTTTCGACCCCTAGGCTGCATTCGCCACCCTCAAAGATCATCCCACCCTTTGGTTTGCGACACACTTCTCATGTGACATATGGTTCACTTGTTGTTGTTTGTTGCTATCGGACTGAGGCTACTGCCTCTGACATTTCTAGGATTTAGTTGTTCTGCTTTTGTTGTTCTTAGGACTTATACACTAGTTAGTTGTTCCCAGACTGATGCTACTGTCTCCAACATTCTAGGATCTAGTTGTTACTACTTTCTGCTTTCCTATGACATGTATGCTAGTTAGTTGCTTCTGCTTTCCTAAGACATGTATGCTAGTTAGTTCCTTCTGCTTTCACTTAGGCTGTTAGCAGTGACATTGCTGTTTTGTGACATTTTATATCCTAGGTTGCATCGCATGGACTCAACATGGAGCTTGCTCCGCATCCTAGACTACTCGTGTTTTCTTTTCTTTGGTAGAGTTCCGTTTCTTGGAGGAAGCGTGCTCGTATCTAGGCGATCCATCACAGGCCGAGGATCGTGTAGCGGACCTCTGGTTGGCCTGTGAGTCCAGCCCCTTGGCCTGTTCTCACAGGCCTATGTTTTATTCGGGGCAGTCCAGTCCAGGCCGATACCTCTGTCGGTACCAGCCATTCCAGTCCAGTCTCGTCAGTCCGCTGGGGTATACCCCAACAGTTGTCTGTTTTCGAGATCATTCTACACTGGCACGATTTGGAGTACGTGCGTTGGAGTCCTGCGTGGGAGCTGCGTTGTGCCATCTCGCTCCTCCCTCATCCTCCATCTCCATCATCATCCCAGGCGGAGCACCACACACGGTGGGTCCGCTACAGCTTAAGACTTAGTTTGCAGGAGTACCTTGAGTGAAAATGTGATATGAAGATTATTCTTCATGAACTCATAGATTTAGCTTGGGAATTGGTCTGTCTTGTGTTACAGGTCCTCTTGATAATTTGATTCAAGATTTTGACTAGATTCAACTTGATCCTACGAAGGATCATCTTCTGTTATCACTTATAACAGGTTGGTTGTCGATTCGTCAGTTTACGATTAAACTCCAATCCACTTCGCCACTCAACCTAAAGGTTGTAGTCTTGTGATTTGAAATGTTTTGTTGTGTTTTCGCCCGGACTTTATTTAAATGGGCATTTAA